TTTTTTTTTTTTTTTAAGCACTTTTCTGCTTAAGGGAAAAGAGCTAAGTACCAATAATTCTCTTCTGACTTTACATAGAAAATTCACATGTATTTGTATCTTCTAGAACACAAGGGGGTCAGGGTGACCAACCCTCTGAGCTTATCTAGGAGTAAGGGCTTTCCTGGGTTGTGGGACTTTCAGTGCTAGAACTGGGGAGGTCCTGGGCAAATAGGGAAGAGTTTGTACAAATATTAACCAGGAAAACAACTTTTCAAGGCAATCAGTTACAACAGATTGTTCAGATGTTAGAGGTTACTTTTACAGGGCATAGCAATTATCTTTGAAGCCCAAGTGTTTTACAAGATGTATTAGTAATTAAATTTCTCTGTTAAATTTTGTGTCACAAAACAAAATCTGCATTTCTGCACCTAGTGGAGAGGGACTTATATTTTCGTATTGTTTGAATTATTTTTATTAGGAATTCAAATGACCTATAGTTTCAAGGCAAAGTACTGGAATTCCATTAGTAAACATTAAGAAAGAAAAGGCTGGCCTCAGAAGCTCAATCATGCAATGCGGAAAGAAAATGGGGCAGGCAGTATCTTGCATCAGCCCTGTCCCTTAATTACAAGCAGTTCGTCATATATATGATTGATTTAATACTAATTCTTTGACAGGCACTGAGCACCTAATTATTATCTTGTTTCTGAGATTACAACTAACCTTTTGAGCTTGCTTAATAAATGTCTTTTCCAGGATCATATCACTGTAAAAGTGGCAAATATTGATATATTGTATATTCAAATAATTTCAAATTATATTTTAATTTTAAAAACCATCAATTTATATCCATCTTAGACACAATAGTAAGGAAATTCCTTCATGGCAAAATGATTGTATCTCTTAGAAGTGTGGAGGAAAAAAATTGGTGTAGGAAAAAGCTGGAGAAATTAAATGTGGGAACAGCGACCCCTTCTCTCCAGAAGTATGTGAGGGTGGCACAGTGCCTGAGAGTACTGGTGAGCTGTGATTATGTAGTTCTGTGTGATATTCTGTGTTTATTTCCTCATTATCGAAGATTCTTTAGGAAAGCCTTGGTGAATGTTCCAGGCTTTTTTTTTTCCTTCTGTGGTTTGGTTATTAATTGTGGTCAGTGCTTGATACCAGCAAGGAAGTAACCAGTACATTCAAAGGGGAATCTTGAGATAAGATATGGGGCTCCACTGACCAGTACCCCTCCCACAGGGAGATTGGCCCTGTATTGTGAAGTTTGTAGTCATTGGCTGCTATATTTTAAAGGAAAGTAGGCAACCACCAATCCAGACAGAAGTGGGTGAACAGTCTCAGCTTACTCATGTATAGGGAACTCAGAAAAGACATTCATCTCTACTTCTAAAACAATTTGAAAACTTGGAATGATTGAAAATATCATTTTAGTCTTCTGTTGCTATAGAACTATGGTGTTCTCCGCATGTTCTCACTCATAGGCAGGTGTTGAACAATGAGAACACATGGACACAGGGAGGGGAGCACTACACACTGGGGTCAGTTGGGGGGAAATAGGGGAGGGACGGTGGGGGGTGGGGAGCTGGGGAGAGATAGCAAGGGGAGAGATGTAGGTGATGGGAGGAAGGCAGCAAATCACACTTCCACGTGTGTACCTATGCAACAACCTTGCATGTTCTTCACATGTACCCCAAAACCTAAAATGCAATAAAATAAATAAATGGGGGAAAAAAAGAACTATGGTGTTCTATAAAAAAAGTTCTTTCACACTAGCAATAATGATTGAAGTGTTTTGTGAAATTAGATTCATGACAGGTAGCTAAGGTACTTTGTGATTAGTGGGACAGCTTGGCTGTAATTACATTGACCTAATCATTTCTTACTTCCCTGCCATAGAATATTTTAGAATAGATGGTTCCTACCTAAATCAAAATATTGAAGAGAACATTATATGAATTCATTGTTACTTTCCTTAGACAAATTTTTCAAGGTCCTTGATAATAAGAATTAAATGGGAATGAAGTTAAAATTATAACACAAATAGTTTGTATAAAAGGTAACATTAAAAAAGAACAAGATTATTATTTTTTAAATATCTGAGTTGAAAAGTCTGTAGTTTCAAGTAAATATGAAGCACTTCAAAGGGTGTAAGAGAAGGTATAGTTTTCAAAGATATACCTAATCTTTAAGTTCCAATTTAAACATCATCTTCTTTAGTAATCTTCTCTGAATACTTGTGTTATATAAATATTTGCTTTTCTTCATACAACCATAGCATATTTTCTGTACTCCACATAGTACTTTCCATGATGTATTCTCTAGTATAATTGTTAATATAAATGTCATCTCTTACTAAATAAGTTGCTTGAGAATGGGATCCATGCCTTGATCATCTTTGTTTCTTGCTTCATGTAGCTCACATTAAAAATATTGAATGATTAACTGAAACTCCATTTAAATAATCTATTGAGTAGAGGATAGGTCTGCAGATTTTTCCTGTAAAGGACCAACTAGTAGATACTTTTAGGCTTTGTAGGCCAAGCGTTCTCTCTTTCAACTATTCAACTTTGCAATAGTAGTGTAAAAGCAGCCATAGACAATATATAAATGATAAGCATGGTGGTATTCCAATAACATTTTATTTACAAAAATAGATGGTAAGCTGGATTTGGTCCATGGGATGTAATTGCTGACCCTGTTGAAGAACATAGCAGTCATTGGATCTCCAACAAGAAATGTGTTAATTCAATAAACTAGTATCCTATATTTCTGGCACCCTCAATTGTAATAGCACACTCCCTGCTGCCTCCCTCGAAGTCCCCTCCCAACACACACACACACACACACACACACACACTCTTCTCAGATGTTTGGTGATTTTTGGCTGTCTCCTTGCATTTAAAGGAGGCATGTGTGTAGCTGACTGGAAGCTGCATGCATGTAGGTAGGGCATGTCCATGGTGAGCTTTCCTGTAGGGAGATCTGGCAGGCCCCTTTCATCAGGGATTTTGGAATAGTATCTTAAGATCTTTCTCTTGGGCAATCTAGCTGTTAGAGTTCTGGGAAACAAGGGAAGGAAGTGAATAGCATATTTGAACTTACTTCCCTCTTCTCAGTCATCTGTGTTCTTAGATCCTAAAACTACACGTGGGTGTTCTGTCATGTGCCACTGAGCCTTGGTCAGGAGCAGGACACAGAAGCTTTTGCCAGGAACCCATTGAGCTCTTCTGCTTTTCTCCAGACCAGACTGGGGATAGGGTATCCAGTTTCCTTACCTACTCTTCCAAGTCTGTCATTTATGACATAAACTTTAGGCCCCAATTCCTTCATGGTTTATGCTGTTGAAATTCAAAAACCCAACCTCTTTCAACCCAGATGTCTCTCCTTGTAGCATCCTGGTAGCATTACTAACCAAGAGAAGTGCAAGGGAAGGATTAAGTAAACACTGTAGGTAAACTGTAGTGAGTCTCAAAATAGGCTGAGGGACTTAGTCCTCATCACATGGTGATGAAAGAACTCCTTAACTTGCATTTTGTAAGCACAAACGATGTTTCCTTTACTGCTGTGACAATGTTGCCTAGCATGGGAGAGGTGTAACACAAGGTAGGTGCTTAGCAGATTTTTAAAATTATTTATTATTTATTATTATTTTTTAGAGACAAGGTCTTGCTCTGTTACCCAGGCTAGGGTACAGTGGCACAATCACAGCTCCCTGCAGCCTCGACCTCCCAGGCTCAAGTGATCCTCTTTCCTGCCTCAGGTGGGAGACTGGGACTACAGGTTTGCACTATCTCACCCGGCCAATTTTTGCATTTTTGCAGAAACGGGTTTTCACTATGTTGCCCAGGCAGGTCTCAGAATCCTAACCTTAAGTGATCCACCCGCCTCAGCCTCCAAAAGTGCTGGGATTACAGGCGTGAGCCAACATGCCCGACCAGATATTTGCTGAGTAACTTGAGAACATAAGGCTAGGAAGGAATTTCTCTGCTTTCTGATCACTGGGAATCTGTACATCTGATCTTCTATCATGTTTTCCACTTCTTTCTTAGTTCTGATTCAATGTGAAAATGCTGATGAATCTGTACTTGTTACACATGTATCTTCATATGAGGCTTGTCAAAAAAGATGACTATACGAATGAGCAGAAAAAGAAAAAAAATTCAAGAAAAATGCTGATTTATATTTACTTTTATTAATTTTTAGTTCCCAAGTACTGTCTTTTTAATCAACTGGTTTGTTTAGTACAATCATTAATTTGAATTAATTTAGGGTCCTTTAAATTAACTTATGCAGTTTCTCTTCTATTATTAAAGATTACTTAATTCAGTTAGGTTTTAACTGTAAAATCAACTGGTAACTCAGTAACCAAATTTGGGTATTTTCCAGATATAGGTAAACAGTATTACAGGATCAAATCTCTAACTTTCTTGAAATAACAGTAGATAAAGGACAAAAAAACTTTTAATTAATACTCAGTTAATCATTTATTAATTTATATGAGAGATGCTGCATATGCTTAGGATCTAATTTTCTCCAGCGAATGTTATTTGCCTTATTCATTTGACATCTGTCTAATATATTGACTGGATAAGTCAGAGGATACACTCTGACTGGTCCCCCTCTTACTTTTAATAATATTTTAATAATAGGCCCTTTAAGTCTTGGGCACATGGCTGCTCAGTAGATATATTATATCACATATTTCACAGACTGTCTTGCAGATAGGTGTGGCAGAGCAATTGTATACTAGCCTATAGAGCAGCAATGATTTTGTGCAACTTCTGGGTCTTATATTATGACCTTTGTCATAATTCAGGTAGTTCTAACTAATTAATTTGAAATTTCTTTAAAATATATGATTCAAGTTTATGATAAAGCAGACTGACTCAATTGTTCTCATTTAGTGAGATATTTGGTGTACTTACACAGTCATTCTAATACACTCAAATATATTTCTATATCTTGCTATATGCATTATGCTATGTACATTACATATACAGACTATCTACATTGTTATAATTGTATGTATGTATCTACTCTTATATATCTAATAAGAATATGAGTGACTACACATATCCATTACAAATAAGTTTATTTTTACTCGTTTCATATGCTAAGGACCGTATAAAGAAATCTGTTAGTTTTCTATATGGTCCTTGATATTACTTTCTTCTTAAAACTGGATTAGTCATGTCAAATAAAGAAAAAAACTTTTCAGGAAATACAAGCAAAGAGCAGAATCAAGACACTTGGAAACAGGGATAGGAGACAATAAACTTGTAAAGTATTTAAGCAGTGGGAATAAACTCTTGTCCAAGTGGAAATCAAGTATATGGGTTTAATTTTTCTTATAAATTCATAGAAAACAGCTCTAAATAGATTAATATAAGTCATAAGTGACATTAATGGGCTGTTTTAAACATAATTTAAAAAAGCTATACTGAGATTTTTTTTCTACTGTAAGTCTGACAAAGATCAGAGAGTTTGTCAATTAACTCATTGTTGCTTAGTGGAATTGTTTTCACTTTAATTTTTAATAGATAATTCTTCAACATGGTACCACATTAAAAAGTTCAAATGAATATGCAGTAAAAGGTCTTCCTTTTACCATTCTTAAAAACATTAGACAGTTCTATATTAAAAATGTGTTTTACTGGCCGGGCGCGGTGGCTCAAGCCTGTAATCCCAGCACTTTGGGAGGCCGAGGCGAGTGGATCACGAGGTCAAGAGATCTTGACCACCCTGGTCAACATGGTGAAACCCCGTCTATACTAAAACTACAAAAAATTAGCTGGGCATGGTGGCGCGTGCCTGTAATCCCAGCTACTCAGGAGGCTGAGGCAGGAGAATTGCCAGAACCCAGGAGGCGGAGGTTGCGGTGAGCCGAGATCGCGCCATTGCACTCCAGCCTGGGTAACAAGAGCGAAACTCCGTCTCAAAAAAAAAAAAAAAAAAAAAAAAATGTGTTTTATTTTGAAAGATTTGGTAGTTTGAATAAGGAATGAGTAAATTCCCTTGTATGTTTGTAAACAGGCAAGAGTTTAATTAGCAGTTTTCTATAACTCTGTGTAGTAAACATTGATTGTTATCTCTTGATATTCCAAATCCTGCCAATGACATGTAAACAAAAGTGTCTTGGGGTAGCTTTTGGGAGCTTCTTTAAAAGACAATGATCACACACCTTTAACACACACTTTGTCCCTTTCTCCATCCTGCTGACTGAAACATGGATGCAATGGCTGCCATTTTGAACCCCACTGAGTATGGCTTTGTCTTAGGGTGGTGAAATGATGAGCTGAAAAGATCCTGGACCCCTGAAGATTTTGTAGAATAGAGCCCCATACCAGTTCTGCACCCCTAACTCTACACCTTTATATGTGATAGAAATAAAATTGTATTTATGCTAATGTTTTACATCTCAATAAATTGTGGACAAATCCAATTGCTACTGATAGACTAACCAGGACATTTATAAAAATTCTACCTAATAGCAGAATACAGAGCATGTGAAAACATGAGAAACAATGAAAACATGTTCTGAATAAAAATCTCAATGCTTAATGATCCCAGAATGAAGAGGATTGGAACTTCCCAGGAGGGAATGTGGCAGCATAAGGAGTTAATCCCTTTTCCTCCTAAGGATTGTTATCCTATCCAATAAAGGAGACAGGATTTCTGAAATGCCAAAGGAATGATGCCCAGGTGGTCCCAGTGATAGCACTTGTGTGAAACCACCACACTGATTAGCAGAGGGTACATTTTGTAGCTAAACTCCTAGGCTGTCTCCAGCCCTTCTGCCCTGGATCTGTGCTTGCTAGTGGCTTATATTTAGAGAGTTGAAGCATAATCACCCTCTATTTTAGAGCTTTAGGACTAAGTATCACTAGTTGGTTTTATTTATACAAGATAGCTGCTTCAACTCCATGTATTACATCTTTATTTAAGTCAAGAAGAAGGGGGCATAGGGCACCACTTTTTATTAAAAAAAATTTAATTAAATAGCTTTTGATATGCAAGTGGTTTTTTGTAACATGGATAAATTATATAGTGGTAAATTCTGAGATTTTAGCGAACCTGTCACCCAAGTAGTGTACACTATACACAATAGGTAGTTTTATATCCCTAGACCCCGTCTCACCCTCCCCTTTCTGAATCTCTGTAGTCCATTATATCACTCTGTATGCCTTTGCTTACTCATAGCTTAGCTCCCACTTATAAGTGATAACACACAGCTTTTGGTTTTCCAATTCTGCATTATTTCATTTAGAATAAGGGCTTTTAGCTCCATTCAAGTTGTTGCAAAAGACATTATTTCATTCCCTCTCACAGCTGGATAGTATTCCATGATGTATATATACCATATTTTCTTTTCCATTCATTGGTTGATGGCACTTAGGTTGTCTCCACATCTTTGCAATTATAAATTGTGCTACTATAATAATATATGTGCAAGTGTCTTCTTCATATAATGATTTCTTTTCCTTTGGGTATATGATGCCCAGTAGTGGGGTTGCTGGATTAAATGGTATATTTCTTTTTAGCTCTTTAAGGAATCTTCATACTGTTTTCCTTAGAGGCTGTACTAGTTTGCATTCTCACCAGCAGTGTAAAAGTGTTTCCTCTTCCCTACATCCATGCCAACATCTATTGTTTTTTGACTTTTTAATAATGGCCATTCTTGCAGGAGTAAGGTGGTATCTCATTGTGGTTTTAATTTGCATTTCCCTGATGATTAATGGTGTTGAGCATTTTTTTGTTGGCTGCTGGTATATCTTCTTTTGAGGAATGTTTATTAGCCCACTTTTTGATGGGATCATTTATTTATTCTTCTTGCTGATTCTTTTGAGTTTCTTGTAGATTCTGGATACTAGTCCTCTGTCAGATGCATAGTTCCCAAATATTTTCTCCCAATTTTCAGATTGTCTGTTTACTTTGCTGATTATTTCTTTTGCTGTGTAAAAACATCTTTGTTTATTTAGATCCTTTTTATTTATTTTTGTTTTTTGCAGCATTTCCTCTTGGGGTTTTAGTCATGACTTTTTCCACCTAGCTCAATGTCTAAAAGTTTTTCTAACATGGTCTTCTAGAATTTTTATGGTTTCAGTTCATATAGTTGAGTCTCTGATTCATCTTGAGTTGATTTTTGTATAAGGCGAGAGATAGGGATTCAGTTTCATTCTTCTACATCTGGCTTGCAGGTTTTCCCAGTACTGTTTATTAAATAGGGTGCCTATTCACCAATTTATGTTTTTGTATGCTTTGTCAAAGATTAGTAGTTGGCTGTTCAATTCTGGTTTTATTTCCAGGTTCTCTATTCTGTTTCCCTAGCCTATTCACCTCCATTTTTTTTTTTTATAAGTACCGTGCTGTTTTGGTTACTATAGTATAATTTGTAGTCTGGTAATGTAATGTCTCCAGATTTGTTCTTTTTGCTTAGGATTGCTTTGGCTACTCAGGCTCTGTTTTGTTTCATATGAATTTTTAGATTGATTTCTAATTCTGTAAAAAATGATATTGGTATTTTGATAGAAATTGCATTGAATCTGTAGATTGATTTGGGCAGTATGGTCATTTTCACAATATTGATTCTTTCAATCCATGAGCATGGGGTATATTTCCATTTGTTTGTGTCATCTGTGATTTCTTTCGGCACTGTTTTGTAGTCATCCTTGTAGAGCTCCTTCACTTCCTTGGTTAGGTATATTCCTAAGTATTTTATTTTACTTTTTGCTGCTGTTGCAAAAGAGATTGAGTTCTTGGTTTGTTTATCAGCTTGGTTGTTGGTATATAGCAGTGTTACTGATTTGTGTACATTGATTTTGTAACCTGTGACTCTACAGAACTAATTGATCAAATCTAGGAGTCTTTTGGAGGAGTCTTTAGGATCTTCTATGTATATGATTATATCATTAACAAACAGTGACTGTCTGACTTCCTGTTTTCCAATTTGAATGCCTTTTATTTCTTTCTCTTGCCTAATCGCTATGGCTAGGACTTCCAGAACTAAGCTGAATAGGAAGTGGTGAAAGTCGGCATCCTTGTCCTGTTTCTGTTCGCAGGAGGAAGGCTTTAAACTTTTCCCCATTCAGTATGATGTTGGCTGTGGGTTTGTCATATATAGCTTTTATGACTTTGACATAAGTGTCTTCTATGCCTGGTTTGTTGAGAGTTTTAATCTTAAAGCGATGCTGGATTTTGTCAAATGCTTTTTCTGTTTCTATTGAGGTAATTACATGGTTTTTGCTTTTAATTATATTCATGTGATGTATTACTTTTATTGACTTGAGTATGTTAAATAATCCCACATTCCTGAGAAGAAACCAACTTGACCATAAAGTGTTATCTTATTTTTTTCTTCTGAACTGTCTTTTTGATATGCTGCTGGATTCAGTAAGCTAGTATTTTGTCAAGGATGTTTGCATCTACATTCATTGGTGATACTGGTCTGTAGTTTTCTTTATTTGTTTTGTCCTTTCCTGGTTTTGATATCAGGGTGATATTGGCTTCATAGAATGCTTTGTGGAGGACTCTATTTCAGCCTTTTGGAATAGTTTCATGACGACTGGTACCAATTCTTCTTTGAATGTCTGGTCGAATTCAGCTGTGAATCCATCTAGTCCTGACTTCTTTAGGTGGTAATATAAAAATTACTGATTCAATCTAGCTGCTTGTTATTTGTTTGTTCAGGTTCTCATTTCTTCTAACTTAACCTAGAATGCTTGTATGTTTCCAGGAATTTATCTATTTCCTTTAGGTTATCTGTTTTATGCTCATAAAGGTGTTCATAGTAGTCCCAAATGATCTTTTGTATTTCTGTGGTATCAATTGGAATGTTTCTGATTTCATTTCTTTTTTTTTTTTTTTGACAGCCTGAATTTAACTTTTACTTAAGTAAGTGTTTATGAAATCAAAACACTAGGTAAATATGTCCTCCAATTTCTTTAGGTTTTAGCATAACCATTAGATCTCTACAAAGTTGCAGTACATTCCATTGTGGCAATGGGTTTAAGGAGACTGATGCTGGCATCTACAGCAAACTCTAGTGAGGGCATTGCAGTTAGCCTGGTGCTACTTCTGGTTCTACCAATAATTCCCAGTGAGGCTTGGGAAATGGGGGTACAGCCACTCTGGCTGCTGGACCTCATTTCATCATCCTTAAAATGAGAGGACCCCTAGATAATTTCTAAAAACTTCTGGCTTTCACACACTTTAAAAAAATTTCTATAGGTTATTGGGGAACAGGTGGTGTTTGGATAATGAGTAAGTTCTTTAGTAGTAATTTCTGAGATTTTGGTGCACAAACCACCCGATCAGTAGACATTGTACCCTATTTGTAGTCTTTTGTCTCCGAACCCCTTCCTGCCTTTCCCCTTGAGTCCCCAAAGTCCATATGTCATTCTTACGCCTTTGCATCCTCATAGCTTAGCTCTCACTTATGAGTGAGAACATATGATGTTTGGTTTTCCATTCCTGAATTATTTCACTTAGAAAAATAGTTTCCACTCTCATCCAGGTCACTGCAAATACCATTAATTCATTCCTTTTCATGGCTGAATAGTATTCCATCATATATATGTATGTATGTATATCACAGTTTTTTATCCACTTGATCGATGGGCATTTGGGTTGGTTCCACATTTTTGCAATTGCAAATTGTGTTGTTATAAATGTTAAACATTGGTGTACAAGTACTTCTTTTCCTCTGGGTAGATATTCAGTAGTGGGATTACTGGATCAAATGGTAGTTCTACTTTTAGTTCTTTAAATAATTTCCACACTGTTTTCCATAGTGGTTGTACTAGTTTGCATTCTCACCAGCAGTGTAGAAGGGTTCACTGTTTACTACATCCGTGCCAACATCTACTATTTTTTGATTATGGCCATTCTTGCATGAGTAAGGTGGTATCACATTGTGGTTTTGATTGCATTTCCCTGATCATTAGTAATGTTGAACATTTTTTCATGTGTTTGTTGGCCAGTTGTATATCTTCTTTTGAGAATTGTCTATTCATGTCCTTAGCCCACTTTTTGATGGGATTGTTTGTTTTCTTCTTGTTTGTTTATTTGTGTTTGTTGCAGATTGGATATTAGTCCCTTGTCAGATGTATAGATTGTGAAGATTTTATTTTTCTTACACTGTGGGTTGTCTATTTACTGATTGTTTCTTTTGCAGTGCAAAAGCTCTGATTTAATTAAATACCAACTATTTATCTTTGTTTTTATTGCATTTGCTTTTGGGTTCTTGGTCATGAAATCTTTGCCTAAGCCAATGTCTAGAAGGGTTTTTCCAATGTTATCTTCTAGAATTTCTATAGTTCCAGGAATTAAAGTCCTTAATTCATCTTAAGTTGATTTTTGTATAAGATGAAAGATGTGGATTCAGTTTCATTCTTTTATATGTGGTTAGCCAATTATCCCAGAACCATTTGTTAAATAGGGTGTCCTTTCTCCACTTTATGTTTTTGTTTGCTTTGTCAAAGCTCAGTTGTTGTAAGTTTTTAGGTTTATTTCTGGGTTCTCTATTCTGTTCCCCTGTCCTATGCCTATTTTTATACCAGTACCAAGCTGTTTTGGTGAATATGGCCTTATAGTATAGTTTGAAATCAGGTAACGTGATTTCTTCACATTTGTTTTTTTTTTTTGCTTACTCTTGCTTTGGCTGTGTGGGCTCTTTTTCAGTTCCATATGAATTTTAGAATTTTTTTTTTCTAATTCTGTGAAGAATGATGGTGGTATTTTGGTGGGAATTGCATTGAATTTGTAGATTGCTTTTGGCAGTATGGTCATTTTCACAATATTGATTCTACCGGCCAGGTGTGGTGGCTCATGCCTATAATCCTAGCACTATGGGAGGCCAACATGGGTGGATCACTTGTCAGGAGTTTGAGACCAACCTGGCCAACATGACAATACCCCATGTCTACTAAAAATACAAAAGTTAGCTGGACGTGGTGATGTGTGCCTGTAATCCCAGCTACTCAGGAGGCTGAGTCACAAGAATCAGTTGAACTCAGAGGTGGAGGTTGCAGTGAGCCATGATTGCACCACTGAACTCCAGTCTGGGTGACAGTGTGATTGTGTCTCAAAAAAAAAAAAATTGATTCTACCCTTCTATTAGCATGGGATACCATTTGTTTGTGTCATCTGTAATTTATTTCAGCAGTGTTTTGTAGTTTTCCTTGTAGAAGCCTTTCACCTTCTCAGTTAGGTATATTCCCAAGTTTTTTGGTTTTTTTCTGTTTGCAGCTATTATAAAATGGATTGAGTTCCTGATTGGGTTCTCAGATTGTCTGCTGTTGGTGTATAGAAGAACTACAGATTTGTGTACTTTAATTTTGTATCCAAAAACTTTGCTGAATTCTTTTATCAGTTCTAGGAGCTTTCTGGAAGTCTTTATGGTTTTCTAGGTAAATGATTATGTCATAAGCAAACAGAGATCATTTGACTTCTTTTTCTTTATACTAATAATTTGTATTTGAATTTTTCTTAGAATGACATTAAAAAGCAAATAAAAAAACATGACAAATGAAGAGAAAAGCCACAGAAAGTAGGAAATAGCTTTGTATTTTAGTACTTTGAATAGCACTTCTTTCCTGATTTTTGAACAAGGGGTTTACATTTTTATTATGCACCATGCCACAAAAATTATGTCACTTGTTCTGTTTTGGGGTTAGCATTATCTCTAGAAGATGCATTAGTATACCACTGTGTTCTCTCTCCCTCTTTTTTTTTTTTTCTGGTTTGATTTTCTTTATTATCACTCTATGTTTGTCTTTCTTCTTTGCTTTTTAAAATCAGACTTGCCTTGGAATATCTTGGATATGTTAATCACTTATACTGTCTTTAATTTTATTATTTCTACCATGATCTTTTTTTTTTATTGCATTTTAGGTTTTGGGGTACAGGTGAAGAACATGCAAGGTTGTTGCGTAGGTACACACATGACAGTGTGATTTGCTGCCTTCCTCCCCAACACCTACATGTGGCATTACTCCCCATGCTATCTCTCCCCACCTCCCCACCCCCTGTCCCTCCCCCATTTCCCCCCAACAGACCCCAGTGTGTAGTGCTCCCCTCCCTATGTCCATGTGTTCTCATTGTTCAACACCCACCTATGAGTGAGAACATGCAGTGTTTGATTTTCTGCTCTTGTGTCAGTTTGCTGAGAATGATGGTTTCCAGTTTCATCCATGTCCCTACAAAGGACACGAACTCATCATTTTTGATGGCTGCATAATATTCCATGGTGTATATGTACCACA